TATTTAATAAAGCTTTAAAAAAAGCTCCTAAACACAATATTTCTAAAAAATTTAATAACATGTGTCCATTGTTATGTTTTTTTTTATAATTACCATTTGAATGGGCTTTGGACCCTTTCGAGTGCTACCTATTGTATTGTGTTCTACTAGATTAAATGTGCACGAATTAAAATAACAATAGATATTAATTAATTCATACAGCATCAAATTTTGAGTTGTTAAATATTTAAAAATAGTTCTTAACATTTGTTTTGAGTTAACCAACCTATTTTTGGTCAAAAAAATATTTATTAATGACTGGCCAAATTAAGCCAAAATTAAATAAGGGTAAGGTCTAAAAAAAACGCTCTGGGAAAATGAACGATCTGTGCATTTCGTTGGCCCAAGCCCAACCTCGTTCCACATTTGATTGGGTCATCGCTCACGGCTCGTTAATTTGGCCAGCCGAATGGGAAATTGATACAGGAAATGCAGCCTAGTGTTAACTGATAACTCTGCCCAAAATTCGTGCGTTGTCCGCAGCTGTGCGGCTCTGATTAATTGTGGGTCAACACAGATGCAGATGTTTGCTCGCATATATGTTACTATATATCTCGCTGATCTACATATGGTTCATATGGTTAATATGGTATGTGTGTAACCACTGGAGCGTTAAATTGCCGCGGTAGCCCGCTTTACCGCCTACCCACCGAGCCCAGATAGCCATCGAACCAAACCACCAACCGACCATCGATACATTCGCCCATCTGCACTGAGAAAAATTCTGCTGCGCCACCTTAGTTTGAGTAAACTTATTATCAACTTCAATAATAAGTTTTGGGCTTAACATTTTTGAATGCAACTCTATAAATTCTATTTTTACTTTAATGGGACACGAAGTACAGAACCTTGTAGAACTTTAGCAATAAAGCTTAAAATTTATTGTTTAAAAGTTAAGTCCATTTTGATGTTTAAATAAGATCATTTTCTTAATTTAATTTTTATGACATTTTTTCCCAGTGCAACTCTGGGATCCACAGCCCCTTGATCCATCAACGTAACCCAAGTAGCACAAATTGGCCCGCGGCTTTGCAGCTTATTGCGTTTTGTATTTGGATATTCTCGTTTTTGTTGTTGTTGGGAAAAAGCGGCCCAGCAGTTTCAATTCATTTCCATTTCCCCCGGACTCGCAAGCCATTTCCATTATGAGAATTGATGGCAAGGTCAAGCGGTTGGATCAGCGTTCGGAAATTTGTCTCTGGCAAATGCGCATGCGCAGCTTCGGGCTTGACTTGATCTCTACAGTGTTTACTCCCCCAACATGCGCTCAAGTATGGAAATATATAATTTAAATAAAAATACCATTAAATGTTAGGTAATAGATAAAATATTAGTTCTTGGCAATCAAATTAAAAAGGGCTAATTAAATTTATATACCTTCAAATTCCATAGATTTCAACCTATTGAAGAAAGACTGTACTTCTATATATTTCCTATATTTGACTTTTGCTTGCTCCGCTCATAAATTGTTGGTAAACAAATTGTTGTTCCCGGAGGCCTAGCAAAGATCAAGAGTTTTTGAGAAGGGGAAATAGTAGGAAGGAGGAGGATGCTTGATTAATTCGATAAACTGAACGATAAATATCGCTTGCCGGTTAATGGAAGCAATCCAATACGGAAGAGAGATTAGGAGATTAGGAGATTACAGTGTGCTTCTATTAATCGAAGTCAATTAATCGATGGTAACCTGTTGGCTGTGATCTTCTTAGGGGACTTAGTTCTCTAGTTTTCTAAGTTTTCCATGTAAATTCCTGCCAAAGGATTTGAATCTCTTAGTAGATTATACATTTTTATTTATTAGCAAGGCAGAATCCCTAGTTTTTTTTCAAATAAACATTTCTGTCTTGTATTTCTGGTTTATTCTTTTTTAAAGTTAAAAAAAGAAAGAAATACCCTTTTTAAACCCAATTTTACAGATCTTCTATTATTTATATAACAGGAATTACCAATTAAATAAGATTTAAATAAGCAATCCAAGCTAATAAATTTAAGAGAGATGAAGAAGAAAATCCGGGGGACAGGTCAAGGTTGGGTATATATCGGCATGTACGTTTTTTCAATACGGGTGTTTTCTGGCACATTTATGGGAACTGACATGGCGACAATAAAAACGTTAACACGCCTATGCCCCAAAAAAGAGTGTGAGGCAGGAGATATGGAGATACAGAGGGGACTGGCCGGCCATATTTAAACATAATTTCGTTTTTTATTATCCTTTCATGACAAAGACGAAGCCGCACCATAAACAAATACACGTATATGTACTTCCATGCATAAGTATCCATATATACACAAGAAGCTGAGAAGAGGCGAAGAAGGCTTGGAGACAATGACGTTTAATAGCGGTCGCTAAGTGGAGGGCAACTGAAGAAGGGTCTACACGGAAAGTAAATATTTTTTGATTTGTAAATATATAAAAAATTATTTAAGGTATGGTGGGATTTGAATTTTTTGTACGAAGTGAAATCTTTGCATAATTTATTTTGATATAACAATATTTACCCAAATGGTATTGAATATGGTTTGGGAAAAGTTATTTTCCAGTGTAGAAAAAGGAGGAGGCAAAAGATGAGAGAATGAGAATGGAAAAAGGAATAGGAAGGACGAGGAGGGAAGGGGATGGGGGAAAGGTGAGCAAAAGCCGGTGAAGAGGGAAATGCCGGCATAGGTAAACAAAACAACTCGCAGGCAGGTAAATTACAAACAGCAACAGATGAAGGTGAAGAGAGGCCAGAGAACACTGAAAGAAAAATGTGCTTTCTTGCCTTATGACATTTTAATCATACCACTTTCTATAGCAACAAAACTAGGATAAATCAGATTGAATCGATACACTTTTGTAATAATTACTAATTTTTATTTTACATGCTTGTTGTGTTGTTTTCCGTGCATTTGTCATGCAGAATTCTCCTTCATAATTTAGTGTTGTTTTTGTCTGGCTTTAGATTTGAATTTGAAAGAATTGTGCGGGAGGAAGGGGGCAGAGGAGTGAGTGAGAGGGAGATGCCGCCGGCTGACATGAACGGCCACACACGGAGAAAAGTGGAGGGTGGGAAAGAGAAGGAGCGAGGCATCGTGCCCCAAAAAGATGGGGTAGGAGCGAAAGAGAGGGGGCAACAAGGAGGAGGCCCAAAATTTCAAATGTTTGCTAATAATTTGACATAATTTTTGTCGCTTCACATTTAGATACAGTGGGCTCTAGCCAAGCCAAACAATCAGGTAGACCAAAATTGGGATAATAAATTGATAATTCAATATAACATCTTTCTGTAGGTCATACTTTTGAGTTCAATGAATTAATTTTTAGAAATCATATATTTTATATAATAATATATCAAACAAATATATATAATGTTGAACCTTGAAGTTAAAAACGTACTTTCTACAGCAAATACAAATAAACTAAAATTCTAAAAGAAAACAATAAATTTGTAAAATAAAACAGAAAAAACAATTCGAAATGCCCGAAAGCAACACTTGAAAGTAAAAAAATATAAAATATTTAACATTAAAACCGTGAAAATCATATTTAGCCAATGATAACTTCATATTCGATAATGTGGTGTTACCTACTTTGATAAGATAAAGCATGATCGATGACATAGGGCGTACTATCGCTGTGTTATCACTGTAATGGCCTACAAAAAGGGGTCATTCACTGTAAATGCGGGCTGTAAGTCGTATAAATTTTAATTATGTCGCCATAAACTAAAATGAAAAGACACACCCCTCCCCCCCTCCTAAACAAAAAAAACAGCAACAAAACAAAGAAACACAACAATTCTGCGTGCTTTGCGTTCAATGTTTTTATTTTCTTGTTTTTCGCCGTCTTTGTCAGTTTTTCGCTGGCTGTAGTAAATTTTTATTTTTTTTTGGTGCTTCGCTTTTTGGTGGTGTGCGCATAAAATTTGCATAAATTACATGCGTCGACACTGACAAGTAAATTCACTTTGAAGGCAGGCCACCCCCCTCCAGACAAACCCCCTCCTCCCCCCATCCCTAATGTTATTGCTTTATTTTTGTCACATTCAGCAGCAGTTAGTCGAGTGCTGTTTTAGGCCATTATGTTAATGAGTTTTAATTGAAGACTCCGCAATATGAGCATTTTATTTATGGCTGGTTTTTGTTGTTTCAAATTTTTCGTTTTTTTTTATTTTTTTTAATTTCCATTTAATTTTGGCCTTATGTGGGCCTCTGCGGGAGGTGAAATTGGGATGGGGTGGCTGGGTTGGCGAGACTTTTATGTGATCAGCAACATGTTGTCTGGGTCTCAAATTTCCATATTGAATGGTGCATAAGTTATGTTGATTTTTAGTCGCAAAATTAAATGGATTATGTGGGTGGAAGTCATATTTTAATTTCGGGCCTTGGCTGGCAATTGAAAGGGATTTGTTTTGATTCCACCAAAGGGACCACTTTTGCATACATTTGGGTGCCCGAAAAACCCGTATAAAAATCTTAGGACTTAAGTACTCAAGGGACTTGAAAATGTGTGAACAGATAAATTGATTGATCACAAAACCAGTTACTTAATGTATATGCAATTTAAAGAAAAAGTTTTAAAGAATATTTTCTGTGAATTGCTTTAAAATATGGGATCAAGTATATATGTAAATGTACTCGGCTTTTATTAATCAAGATTGGATTGATTGCAAATATGTGATCAAAAATATATTATCATATATATAAAAGTTTTTTAGGATTTATTACCATAAGCAAAATAAGGGAAAACAGGTTCTACAGAAATTCTCAGAATTGCTAAAATATTATAAATATAACATAAATAAAGAACTATAAAAAATGCATTCTTTTGGGAATTAAAATGTAATTTATTTTTATTATTTCTCAGAGTTTCAAAAAAATTGTATAATCTATGAACCGAAAGAACTATACTGCATTGAATAATTAATTTCCATAAGTAGGAACAGTTTTACTGTGTGCTATGTTAAAAACTCACAAGCTTGGAATGTTCATATTTAATGTCTTCGCATGGCATTTAAATTTAAATAACTAACACGAAACAAAAGTATGGAGAGTTTTTCAAACAGAACTGTTACTACTTAAAGTAGTTGACAAATGCCCTTCGCAATTTGCCGAAGACACCAAGTTCGCCGGCTTGGCTCCGGGTATTTTGAGAAGGACCAGATCCGGGATCCTGGTTGAGGCGACCCACATGCCAGCGTAGCTGCATCCTACCGACCACCAGGCGCTTGGCCATCAGGACACCGGATTGCAGGTGCTCCGCGGAGGTGAATTGCAGCTCCAGACCCTTCTCCCGCTGGCGATACGCATACACTGAGCAAAAGCGCGAGAAGACGCTGAGCAGTGGTTCTTCGGCACCGGGTGCAAAGTGGTGCAGGCTCAGCCAATCGTTGCTCTTCAGATCGTCCGTAGAGGAGGTCCTGTTCCTGGCCAGCTCCACATCCGTTTCCGGTCCCTCCTCACTCTCACTTCCGCTCCCACTTCCACTTTCGCTCTGTGAACTTTCTTCCGACATGCTTTCTGTGCCTCTGATTATGGAAACTAAATTTTGTGGGTGATTTTGTTTCCCAGGTAAGCTTAGGTAACTTCTCCAAAATAATTCTCCTTTTGTCTACCTAAAAATGTTCGGGTATGAAAGGAACTTTCTTATATATGTATATATATATATGTATATTAAACAAAAATATTTTTTAAATAATATGTCTTAATTTACACAAGAAAATATTTCTCAGAATTTGCACATTTATTAAAAAAAGGTTTTGATTTTCTAGATACCTCTTTAAGTATTCAATTTGGGTTTTTCTACTAAGCAAATTTATCAGCGTTTTGTTCTTATTTACATATAAACTGGATATTAAATACTGTTTGCACGCAATATTTTGATTTCCCTTATCGGAAGTGCTAAAAACCCAAAACACTATCAGAGAGAGAGAAAAGAAAAGATTGCATGTGAGAGTTGGCAGCTGTTCAAACAAAAACCTCAACTTCAAAAATTAAAAACCCCAGATACATATGTGTTATGTAGATCTTTTTCTTGATAATATGCCACAACACCAAAACCCGATATAACATGAATGTTTTCTTATACCTTTTTTATGCCTTTTCAATGACAAAAACCATTTTAAAATTAGATATATTTATTTATACACTTTTTTGGTATGTTCTGATTAATATCAATTATATTTTGATAAAAACCAATAATAAATGATTTTTTTTTTAATATGCAAATAACACGTATCCATAAATTAACTTATTAAATAAATATTATTTCAATAAGTTCTTGTATGCACATGTTATCTAGCCTACACTTTACGAGCTAACAAAATTGGAGCAGAGGGCTAGGGCAACATCTGCCGAATAGATATAGAATATAGAAATGCATCCCAGATACTTCCTGGTCCCTCTTTTCGTATTGTAAGTGGGTCAGTCATTTGGGGGCCATGCGGTTGAACTTTTTTTGTGTTTTTCTGATAGCCACTATCAGTGGGTGAAAGGCAAAAACGAATAATTCCATTGGATGCGGAGTATTCATAATTGTTATGTCCATCGCGATTGAACTCTAATCCGTATCGCCTCATTTTATGGATGGAATATGGAATGCTCAAGTGTGTCTATTGCTATGCCTTTGCAGATGTTTATTTTTCGAGGGCCCTTTGTCAGTTGTTGCTGCGATCATTCGAAATTCATCGCATCCGGAGGAGGCAATCAATTTTGAATTCGATGCGATTCGATTTGTTTTTGCTTTGGTTTTTAGTTGCCCTCCACTTGGGAAACTACCAAACAAGAGATCTGATTCAGAAAGTTTTGGGGCTTTTGTTTGTTGACATTGGGATGTGTATTACAAATTTAAAGGTCTACAGGAAATGTATTTAAAAGTCTAGCTCTTTATATTTATAAATGATTTAACGATTTTCTTTAAATTTGGAGATTAAATTATATTCGAGCTTTCAAATTAAACCAATCTCAATAGCAAAATCAAAGAGCTTTTTGTTGATAATTAAGCTAGCTACAGAGAAATGCCATTTGGAAACTGGCACAGCTTAATACAAAAATTGTCATTCATAGCTTATCTCAACTTAGCCATAAAATTGCTTAGTGTGGGCCAAGAATTGCTTTGAACTGCGATAAGCTTTGAATCTGGAATCAAAGCGAATTCCTATAAATTGACAGCTCTGAAAATCAATGGAAATTCCGATCGCCCCATAAACATTTGCAAGTTCATTAGGTCCGCTGACTTTTATGGGTGACTGTGATCGCCTTCAAGCTTTATCTGAGAATCGCCCCCACAGATACTGAAATACTGGAACTCTCGAATGCAGGCAAACAAATGCTTTATTCGCGCCCTCCGATATTCAGATGTCCGTTAGTTTTGCACGTTTCCTCGTACAATTGTATATTTGTGTTGACTCTGCGAGTCGGGGGCGCAAAAAGAACCCACAACGACATTAAAAACTCCAACGGATCGCAGGCAACGGCTATAAAGCTCAACACTGAACAAAATTTGAACCACATAGGAAAGAATTCAATGTACGTTTAGTTTAAAATATTAAAAATATATTAAATTACATTTTGTTCATTAAAAACCGATTTTCTAACAAGCTTGCAAAAATGTTTATCATTCTGGGTTACATTTTTTTAAATAATTGTTTAGCAGAGAACAATATGCAAAAGTATTGTGTTATTGGAATAAATTATTTTAATATTTTCTTTATATTGTATATTTATTTTTTAGAATACTCGATGGTGATACTACAAAACCGTTTTATTTATGAAAAACAAATATGTATTGTAGAAATCTATAAATTAGTAGGAGGTTGAGTTATTTTCTTCCCGTGTTAAAAAAGGGCTTTGCAGGCGTGGAATGTGATCTCTTTGCATGCTCAATTAACTTTGTGAATTCTTGAGCCACCAAACTTCCAGGGAATTTGAGTGCTTTTGCTTTGGCACGGTGGTGCAGAACGGCTTGGTGGTGCAGTAGCGGTGGTGGCGCAGTGGTGGAGCGCTGGGTGCTGGGCAAATTTATCGCTCTGCCAGAGCTGTCAGCCTGATGAGCGTCGACATGGCAGGCCAACAACAATAAATGGCGAACAAAGCGCAGTGGCTGCTAGCCCACTGCACCACCCCCTCCCCCCTCAACTGCCACCATCTACCCCCTAACCACCAACCCACTAAAACCACTCAAACAAAACTCAAACCAAAAGATACAACACAACTGCTGTCCTGTCCAAGCGAATGCTCGTTAAAGGTGCTCAAATTTGAATTTCAAATGCGTTTGGCCGTTGCTGCCGTTGTTAACATTTTGCAGAAGTTAAACACTGAGCAAAATTCCTAAATAGTCATTTTTTTTGTAACTTGGCCAAAATTAGACTCATAATCATAAAAGTGACTGTTTTGCACAGCTGGCAACCTATTCTACCCATCCACAATCGGTTTAGAAAAATCAATATTGTTAAGATGCAAAAACAGATTTTTCAAAATCGATTTTTGAAAAATTAACTTTATGACCAATTTTCGGAAAAAATAATTTAATTTTTTCCGAAAATTTGAAAATCTTAAAAATTTTTAACTGAGAACGCCATTTGTTTGGAAATTTAATGACGAATTTGCCGATGTATGACATTCCATCTGGTGACCATTTTTTCCCAAGGTTTTGATACAAAAACCGATATTTTAGGTGTTTTTTTTTGGGTTTTTGGAGATTTAACAAATACAAAAATTCCTAAAGTGTCCTTTTGTTGTAACTTGGGCAAAATTAGAGGTAGAACCATAAGAGTGACTGTTTTGGACAGCTGGCGACCTATACTACCCAGCTAAAACCGGTTTATTACAATAAATTTTGCTTTGAAGCAAAAACCGATTTCTAAAAATCGATTTTTTGAATAAATTAATTTTATTACCAATTTTTGCATTTTTGATAAGGGGGTACATCATCATTTTTTTCGAAAATTTGAAAATCTTAAAAATTTTTAACTGAGAACGCCATTTGTTTGGAAATTTAATGACGAATTGGCCGATGTATGACATTCCATCTGGTGACCATTTTTTCGCAAGGTTTTGATACAAAAACCGATATTTTAGGTGCTTTTTTTTGGGTTTTTGGAGATTTGACAAATACAAAAATTCCTAAAGCGTCCTTTTGTTGTAACTTGGGCAAAATTAGAGGTAAAACCATAAGAGTGACTGTTTTGGACAGCTGGCGACCTACACTACCCATCTACAGTCGGTTTAGAGCCATTTATTTGTTTTTAATAAGAAAAACCGATTTTTCAAAATAGACTTTCGAAAAATTAACGTTATGACCAATTTTTAACTGAGAATGCCATTTGATTGGCAATTTAATGACGAATTCGCCAATGCCTGACATTCCATCCGTTGACTATTTCTTCCCAAGGTTTTAATATAACAACGAACACACACATTTCTAAAAAGTTTTTGTCGTGACTTTTCTTCCAGTGCAATGGGGCATGATGTTGCTACTGCAACTGCAATTTCTGTTGCATTTGCAGTAGTAGCTGTTGTGTGGCTGCCTCATCTGCCAGTTGTCAGCGGATGTGTTGATGAATTTATTTGTCAAAATCGCATTAGGCGGTTGACTTTATGAAACCACCACCGTGGCGATTACCACTAAGAGCAGCACCACCCGCACTCCTCATTTATATATGTGTATATCTTTACTCGAATATTCGAATAGAGTCTATAGTAAACGACATGTCCATGTCCCTGTCAGTACTTTCTATTGTGCGTATTTGTGTGCCGCTGATTGACATTTAAATGCAAACTGTCAGTGGGGTCCGGTACTTTTTTTTTTGTTTCTCATTCATTGCATTGTTATTGAACTCACAATGAGGTATCTCAACGGTTGTTCCTTAATTAATCACAGCTGCAGCTAATGGGTTAAGCAGTACATACCTGAAAGAAGAGGGGAAAAATGTTCAATTAATAATTGGAATAGCAAAGATTTTGTTTTTTTTATGTTAGGTAGTAAGCAACTCAAAAACAACCACAGCTTTGCAAATGCAAATATGTATCTCGGAGTCCAAAGCTCCCTTTCATACCACTCTTAGCCTCTTTTTTTAACCCCCCTTAACCCATGTTTCGATCTTTCTTTTGGTGTTGCTGGCAGTCGCAGCAGAAGCTAATTTAAATTCAAATTTAAATTGTTTGCCGTCGCTTTTTTATTGACAACGACAAGCTGCAGCAGCCACAGAAGAAAGAAAGCCAAGCTTCTGAAAGTGCTGAGTATATAACTTTTTTGTAGCTTAATTACAAAACTTATTTAAATGCATTAAATTATATTAAAGTTCTTAAATATTAAAATTCTTAGATAATATTAATTTTAAAAACTATATTTTTACATCTAAAATATATTTTTCTATTATTTGAAATAATAAAACCTCTTCTTTAAACGTCTATATTTAAAAAAAATTATATTAGAAAATTTTTGTATACGTTTATAGTAATATTTAATTTTAATTTTTATTTACGTTAATATTTTTTTAATACCAATTGCGAGAAATGGTAACTAATGAAAAAAAGTTACAAAAAATTCTTTTTGAAATCGTATCTATGTACCTGTTATTGAACTCATATTTTTTAAGCTCTTACTTATAGCATGGAATGTGACAATATCTTAAGATAATACCATTTGAAGGGCTCGAAGGTCTGTCAATATCTTAGCCTGGATAAGATAACGGCATCAAAATTGCGTTTGTACAAGCAAAAACCGACAGTAAATTTAATTTGTAGAGACTAATTCTGTGGCAACACTGATCGTCGGATCGCAGATCGAAGTTGCATGCAGCAGATGCACGCCTCGCGATTTGCCAGTTTCGGGTTTTCCTTTGCATTGGAGGGAAGAATACTGCTGCCGGCTTTTTGAGCTTTGCACCCACGCTTCTGGTGCTGCTGCCCACGCAATCGATAACAGTGAATAAATTTTATTTATTTATAGTACATATATATCCATACGCCCACAAGAAATGCGATTGGGCGCGGGAACTGTCAATTAGGAGCGGATAAAAACCCTTTAAACATTATGTTGAAATCCCTGGGGACATTGCCCATTCCATTTATGATAATTGGGTGCTTAATATATTCAATATACAATAAATATATATATTCCCAAGGTTTGAGTCAAAATCTCGGGGGAGAACATTAATTTATGATTGCTTAATTTTAAATTTATTTTTAAAATAATAGGGGAGTGTAAGCATGATTTTGAACAACGCTTATAAATTTACTCCCTAAAATAAGTTACTTAGGGTGTTTAAGAAAAATGTTTATTACATATTTCATTTTAAAAATATAAGGGATTATCTTTCTTTTCCGTTTAAAATTCAAATGGGTTTTATGGGCATTTTTTTCTATATTCTTATGAAGCTTAGCTGGAGGTAAAAATTTGAAGAACATATTTAATTATTTAATTAGATTAATTTCAAATTCCATAAATTTCTGATTGATTCAACTAACATGTGTGATGTTTATAACACAAATTTGGACTAGGATATCGGCGAGGAGGATCCAACTATCGCCTGAACCAAAGACCATCCCAAACAGCGATTACTATGGACATACATGCCTCTTCCCCGTCATTCCCACCATCCTACCACGAAATCCCCGTTGCTCCTGCTGCCAGAGGAATCGTCATGCATTGCCATTTTTGGTATTTTCAGCCAATTAGCGGCGCAAAGGCTTCAAATGTTAAGTAAAAGCGAAACGGGCTAACGAAACGTGGCCAAGCCGAGCTCCTTGGCCAACAACACAGCCCAGCGGAGCCAACTGGCCGAGAGCAACTTGCATTTTTAATGGTGCTGCCAAAGGCGGCGGCAAAGGGGGTTTCGAAGGGGGCTTGGAAGGAGCCGAGCCAGAAGATGTTTAGCTGAATTTGCTCCTTTGAGATGGCAAAAAAAGACGTGACACGGTTCCAGAAATATTTATAAGTTATCATGTTTCTAAAGGGGGTATTATAAAAAGTTATTGGAATTCTCACACATAATAAAAATAATTGTATACATAAATAAGTTTTTGATAAAAATTAACCCTATGAAAAACTTTATGTGATTCATTAATGCCAACCCCCAAGTGAAGTTTAATATATTTACCACTTAAATAACTCTATTCATAATTATGATTAATTATAATTAATGGTTTAAAATTAAGCCAAAATTAAACTATAAGGGGATGTAGTCAGTTCTGGCAAATCAAGAAAAGCAATTTATAAATATATGCGATAAGACAAAAATAAAATGTTGATAAGGTAAAAATAACATAAATGTCAGAGATAGGAGAAGATCCCTTTGAGACGATAAAAATATAATGCTGATGACCACAATATTGACGATGATGTTTTTTTATTCACTTTATGGTGGTGATTCACTTGTACTTAATGAGAAAATCATTTTCCATTTACAATATTAGCTTTTCATGAATGGAATGTTCTATTTACGGGTGATGAGATTTTGTGGAAAATTACTCACGCACGCAGCTAGCTGACTCACTTTTGGCGTCCTATAATCCCCGTCATAATAGAGGTAAGCATAATCATCTGATAAGATAGCAAAACTGGAGCAAATAGCTGTATATATTCCCGTCTTTTTTTTCAATTTTGCATGAGAAAATATTGAATTGGTAAATGGCAATATCACGCGGCCATCGCTGAGCTCGTTAGTGGAGTCCAATCAAATTTATGCGGCGGCCTTAGAGATCCTCCTTTTATACAATACTATTTATATGTGACTCCCTTCGGTTCCTGGATCGCCCCGTCTCTGTCACTCCGCCCCAAATAAGGTCACGCCCGTTTGCAGGACTTTTAATGAAGCCTTAAATGTCATTGATGAAATAACTGCGCAAGCGATCGATCCATTGCGATCCGATTCGATTCGATTCGTTGCGATTCGCAGCGATTCGATTGTCGCCGGCTGCTAATTAAAGCTGACCATCTAAGGTTCGAAAAAGTCACAATCACAATCACTATCCCGGACCCCCTAGCTCCGCCCCTCGGGTAATTGGCCAGATTTTCCTTCGGGCATCAGCGAAAGTGATGACAGCTGGACCTCAGGGGACACGGTGAAAAAAGTTGTCATTAAAAACGTTCTCGAGCTGGAATCTATAGAAATAAAAACTGTCTTCCAATTAAACGTCTAAAAAAAAACTCATAATTTAGTACAAAAGGGGTAAACAACTACTTTTCATTCCTAGTCTTTCCAGCCTTTATGCGTTTAAATTAACCTTTCTTAATGTTTTTTCTTATATTATTTTTCTTTTATTTTGTAATAATATGAATTACTTTAACAGTTTTATTATAAATACATAATTACGCTTAAAATGTTATTTTTTTCATTTAGTTAACTCTACTTTTTTATGAAGACATCATAATAACCAACACCTTGTATTTATTTTAAAAACCTTACTCATTTTATAATTTATTATGTGGTTGTTACAAACTTTTAAATCTTTTATTTTTAGTATTCAACAAATATATAAGAAATTTATAAAAAGACATTTATATTGCAAGTGCAGCACTCCACTTGCGAAAATGTTTATGTATAAACTAAAGTCATATATTTAATCCTTTTATTTATTGAGCACTTAAATATATTTAATATGTGAATATTTTTTGCAGTGCTTTTTTTGCAGGCGTAGCTGGAGTTGCATTTTGAGCCAAAGGTTTCGAGTGGTTTATGTTTTCCATCGATCTTGGGGGTGGCAGTTGAATAGCTCGCAGTTGGCTAATTGGCTCATTGGCCTGTGGCTAATGGATGTTGACGCTTCCGTCTGTGTCGAACACACACATTTTCCCCCTCCCTCCCTGAATTTTCCCTTTCAGATGGATTTTCCCCTCGATTGGCCGCAAACAAAGGGGAAATTAAACAGTAGTCTGCAACAATTTTCGGTCAGTTGGTCAGTTGATTTTGGCACAGCTGGCTGGACAGCAAAAACAAAATAAAAAGGGGGCGTTGGAAAGGTAACAGAGAGGCGAAATACAGAACACAGAATCCAAAAACCAGCTTTATTCTTCGACTTTATCACGCCCGTCATCTAATTCCTTCTTTTCACATTTGGCGACCTTGAAAGCGCCTGTTAAATTTGTCGATAAATTATGAAAGGAATGCGAGTCGCTCGTTGAAAATACATATTATATAAAAAATAAAATCTGTAGAGGCAAAGAAGAAGTAGAAGAGGAGCAAGACATGCCAGCAGAAGGTGCAACGCCCAACGGCGAGAACAAAATACAAGAATAACCAACGAAACTGAAACTGGAATTGGAAAAATAAAAGGGGAGATACAGAAAATAAGGCTCTTGAGAGTGGATCAAATTCTTAACTGAGAAAAATACTGTCCTACAAATTATCATAATTTTGCCATATTCTTTATGATTTTATTACACAAATTTATAAATTTTTAGACGAATTTTGATATTTATTACTGATCTTGAGAATTTCAAATGTATTATAGATAACTTAATATATATTTTTGTTATATTTTGTTAATAAAACCTTGTCGTGCTTTTTAGGAGATTATAAAACATACAAAACGTAATAAATAAATATTAATATCTTTATAAGAGATATGTAGTGTAATTTCTAAAGTTTTTGCTGATCTCATCTCTTTGTTATATTTTTTCTTGTGTATAACTTATGGTAGTGAGAGGAAGCAAAGTGTTGGGATTTATCAGAAGGTAAATGGAGGTATAACTCTGGAGACCCCAGTGCACCAACCTGAAAAAGATAGGCCTTGATGGACAGGTGAGAGGAGGAGGTAAAAGTGGGGGGGGGGGGGGTTTGTGGATCTGGGACCAATAACTACAGAGTGACAAGTCAGTCAGATAAAAACGAAGCGGATAAAAAGCCGGCCAAACGACAAGAACGATGAATCCAGCTGAATTCAAAGGGGAGAAAAAAATATAAGAA